GAGATACAAAGTGATTGGATCATTGAGACACTAGTTCGTCTACGGGACAGGGGGCTGTCAAGAATCGATCCTCAGCCCGCAGCCGAACAGAGATGGGGACGTTTGACGGCCGACTTTTGTAGCGCAACGCTTTTATCACACAACAAGACAACCTGGTACATGGGCGGCAACATTCCTGGAAAACAGCGTGAAGCTTTGAGTTTCATGGGTGGAATTCCGGAGTATCAGGATGCCCTTAACAATTGTCACTCGAACGATTTGCTGGGATTCAACTTCTGCTAGTTCAGTCAAGGCTCTGAGTGGCCACCTACCTCTTACTTTAGTTAGCAATCTAGTAGAGGGTTGATGAACCATGATATAAAACCAGGTCTCAAGATTTCCATATTCGCTTCCTATAGATTCAGCTGGACTCCAAGGCGTCACAAGGAAATCAAGAACCCCATCAACCAATTTGATGTGTAAAATACCTAGTTCACCCATGCCTACATGCAAAAGCACCCCACCATCACCGCCATCATCTATTACCTTCTTCAAGTCGTAAGGTACATTCATCTTTTGAGGGGGAAGCCCTGGGACAGAGCTAAGTACAAAAGTTCTTCCTGTGACGGTATTGGGAATGACTAATCTACGTCATTGCCCTTTTCAACTGCGCCTCAACGTATTTTATCTTAGTGCTTACTCGGATCCATTCTGAACTGCAAACGTCATTCGTTAATAAAAGGTGTGTAGCATGGCATGCAAAGGATTGGGCATGACGAGTGAAATCATCGAGTATATAAGTACGCTCGCGCCTCTATGTCGGATCCCAAGTCTTGATGATGCTCTTTGATGAAGCACAACTTGTAGCCGTCAAAAGCCACCGACAGCTCCCCTCGGATAGTATTCGTCTTTACGGACCGGCCTTGGCTTCATGCTACGGCACTTAGATGGATATGAAGCTCATCATAACTGGTGCAAGCGGCTTCGTAGGAACGGAGTTGCTTAAACAGAGTCTTCGTATCCCTGCAATAAAGACAGTCATTGCTCTTACTCGACAACCGCTGAGGATATCAGCAGAATCCAGTTCCGATTCCGACCACTCAAAGCTGAAAAATATTGTTGTTGAAGGTTACGACCAGTACTCTGTCGAAACTAAATCAGAGTTCGCCACTGCTGATGCGTGCATCTGGTACGCTTATTCTATATGCTCCAAACTTGACTTTGGAGCTTGTGCTAAAAGTGATCTTCCGTGGGGCGATAGGACAGTGGCTATTACACCCTCAAAATCGACATTATATGACTGGAATGAGATTTGTCGAGTTTGTTACGAATCACCTCTCGCCGGGTTGCGAGCAATGCTGGAAGCCCGTAGCTCCTCGACGACTAACAACGACAAGAACACACCGTTCCGTTTCATATACATGAGTGGTGCCAAGACAGAGAGAGACCAGTCCAAAACTCCAAGCTTCAAGCCTGAGTACTCACTTTTGCGGGTGTGTCAATTATTCCCGCCCTCCCCATTCTTAGTGACACTCTGACACTAGCTCCGGCTTGTAACATTGAGATTTATGTATCACTTTGTTCATTTTGCTTCATTTCTGACGCTTTTGTACGACAGGGAAAAACTGAGACTGCGGTCTTGGCTCTCGCTAAAGAGCATGAAGCACAACTCGATGCCTGTGTTGTCAAGCCTGGGCTGATAACAGCACCCAACGACTTCCTGAAGATGGCTGTTGCGTGTGCATTGTGGTGGACTGTGTCATTACCAAGTATTGGGGTTAGAGAAATCTCGACTGCCATGTTGAACCAGTCCTTATTTGGCTTTGAGAAGGACACGCTTGAAAACGATGATCTTCTTCGTTTGGGGGAAAGTGAACTTTAAGCTGGCCCATTAAGAACCTTACCTTTGAAACTTTGGATGTGACGATATCTTTTTAATTTTCTAAGGGTCTTACGCCACCTATACGAAGACATTCCAACAGCAGCTACATCAGCCGTGTCACGTTGCTTTGCGTATATATAACATGAGTGTACTTTTTTGAGATGCAATTATTACAAACATTTATTCAACGAAACCTGACGGATTCGGCCTTCTCGAAGGCGTATGGAACGCTCGGAGTTTTCCATTCGGGGGATATTTCCTTTTCCCCCTCAAACTTGACCACAGGTCTCAAAATACTCAAGCGCTTCCTGTTGAAGGCACTTGAATCAAAGCTCTGGAACCATTCGCCTTCAGGGTTGAAGAAGTCACCAAGAACCTTTGTCCACCCATTCCAAACAGTCACTAGGAGATCCAGAACATGATGAGCACCTCTCATCTCACCCCATTGGAAGCGCTGCTTGCATTCTGCCACAGTGTTTTCAGGGTAGAGGCCGACCTCTTCGGTGAGGGCATAGGCGTTAACGCCCACGAGACTGGCGTGTGAGTAGTAGCTTCCCCCCTCAGTCGCGCGCCGCTTCAGTCCTAGCATTGCGCCAACCGCGCCCAAGACACCGGTGGACATGTCGGAAATGGGCAAGCTCGGAAGAACAGCCTCGTTGTTCGGAAGTCCCAAAGATCTTCCCGTAACATAGGCAGAGCCAGCCGCAGCATCGGCGATTTGTTGCCAGCCGGGCCGCTCAGCATAATATCCGTCCGGTCCATAGCAGTTCTCGGTGACATACACGATTCCTCGGCCACGGTCACCAGCCATCTTCAGGAGATCATTCAGTCCAAGGCCAAATTTGGGCATCTTATTGATGCGGAACCCCTGGATGAACACATCGCAGTCGGAAACGAGCGATTTAAGAATCGAAGCATCCTCCTCTTTTCGCAGATCGATGGCGATCGTGCGCTTACCAGCGTTCAACGAGAGCTGCATGATGTTGATGTCCGGAAGGTGGGGAGGGTTGACGCGAATTACATCTGCGCCGTATGAAGCAAGAATGGTCCCAATCTCTGGCCCAGCGATAACCCGGGTCATTTCCACAACCTTGACCCCTGCCAAGGGCCGTTTGTCGTCGGGGCTGAGAGGCGGAAACGCGATCGGCGGTGTGGGCATCGTCTGCTCCTGCTTCTTTACATTGACTAGAGGGTGCCTAGAAAGGGACCGTCCCATCTCAGACTCCCGCCACTGCTTAGGCGTGAAGCAGATACTGCCGCAAAATCCATTTAAGAGATTTGTGACCTCCATTTTCTCTGGGCTAAGCTTTGAGGTGCGCTCAGCAATGTGCGCGGCCGCCTCATCGTTGGAACTGATTGGTGCTGATGGGTCGACGCCGATAGATCGCAGGACCGGATCAGCGTTCATGCTGCCGTGAAGAGAATACCATACTTCAGGATCGCTGGTTGGGTAGAGGCCAGTCGCACGGTATTTGAGAGGAGTGTCGGTCCAACCCCGTTCCCAATCAGGCAGAAGGCTCTTGAGCTGGCCTTGCTTGACCATGCTGACAACATCGACACCATCGAGGAACGCAGTGGCTATACAGCCAAACCAGATAGCTGCGTGTGTGGTGTTGACAGATATCAGTCTGTCCTCCTTGTCGACGCCGCGGATGGACAGAATTTCATTTGCAAGCACGCCGGTCATGGCGTGAAGGGCGGCAGCGACAGAAACTGCCTTGATGGGACCGGGGATGACGGGGTACGCCTCTCCGGTAAATCTGACTCGAGAAAGAAGACGCTCATCTTGAGTGAAGCCCGGTGTTTGGCTTGCTATCAGACGAAAGATCCGCTCGGTGTCTTCGGGTACGGGGGTGAAGGTCTTGTCTGTGAAGGTACCCGGACCGTAAACATCGGGAATCCTTTCTGATGCCATAGTGACGGGCAAATTTGATAATTATGGAGTACGAGTCTGAACAAGGTGTATGGAGTTGTGCTGGTTCGAGAGGGATCCGTTCGAATGTGGTATGTGAATGTGTTGATGAAGAGGAAAGGTCGGTTAGCCAAGAGGGTGGTGGATATAAATATGGTGTTCTTCAACAGCCTTCGCCTCAAGAGATATACTGTTGCCAACGACGGGCCTTGCGGATGTAAAGCGGAAGGTGATACCAGGGAATTCGGAAGGACCGCAAAGTGACGCGGTGTGACCGCTATCGAAAATTTGGCCCCTGAAGCATTGCGGGAATATGCAGCACGAAGCCGAGGTTGTGGGGAAGAGGACGGAGAAAAATGACGTTGCTCGGATTCACATCGGTGCCCAGTGTGAGCCGAATGCTGCGGAAATGGGGTCCACATACCGGGTGCGATATCAACGCGAAAGCCGGAGGTCGAGGCCGAGGTCTCCAGCAAAGGCTAGGATTATTAGAAGGGCTGGTACTTGCTGACGTAGCGAAAATGACGTTGAGTCTGCAAGGAGATCATCATTGGCCACTCCGTATCCCGTGTCGGTGTGATGTTCACCTTCTTCCGCTTAGAACAGAATCATGGTCCAACTCGTGGAAATCCATTTTAACAGATTAGAAGTTTTCTGGAACATTTAGCGGCAGCAATGTGGGGGCCGGGAGAGCCAAGCTCTGGCGATCCGGAGCTGGCGCGTGAGTCGCGGACCCGCCTCTCTGATTCCGCGCGCGGAATTATTCCCGTTACCCCGTAAAACGGTGTCTTCATCGGTGTCCACTCATCGGCGTTGTGGGCTCTTCACAGTTCAACTCTTCGGAGTTCGAGACTTTGAGCCCCAACATCGGCCCGGTGATATTCTTCTCCCTCTCGGAGGCGCCGGCAAGCAGGTTCTTGTTCCATGTGCTCACGATGACCCGATCTCTTCATTTCATGATGCTGGCTTTGTTTTCAAGATCAGCCACTGCGGGTAATCTATAGATGCTTGCTATGCTGCTTTTTACCATAAATGTCAGACTTCACCTTTCCCCCCGGCGACTCTGCTGCTCCGTCTTGCTTCTCTCAATCTGGAAATCTTAATCAACTGCAACACTCAACCGTCATTGAATTTAGATACTGCAACATAGCAGCCTCTTTAAAACCCACGCCGTTCTAAATTTTACGAAAGAACTCCCCTGCCCGCATTTTGATCTTACTCTTGAATATGTCACATATTCAAAAGGTCGCCATTGTTGGCTGTGGCTCTATTGGAGCCTCTTGGGCTGCTCTTTTTCTAGCACAGGGCCTTCAAGTATCAGCTTTCGATGTCAACCCTGCTGCCGAAACGTTCCTTCGATCCCTTGTCACTGACGCCCTGCCTATTCTTTCGACGCTGGGTCGTCAAGAATGCCACAGCGAAAGTGGAAGACATTTTTTTCACGACGAACATGGCCGAGGTTCTCGTGGACGCCGATTTTGTGCAAGAAAACGGACCGGAGAAACTAGATTTCAAGCGGAGATTGTTCAACGACATGGCGAACATTGTTCGGCCAACCACAATCATTGCTACCAGCAGCAGTGGCCTGACTTGTTCAAGTATACAGCTTGGAATGGATAAATCAAGCCGGCCTGAACGATGCGTTGTTGGCCATCCTTTCAACCCTCCGCACCTCATTCCCCTTGTGGAGGTAGTCGCCGGTGAGCAGACATCATCTGAAACTATCAGTACCACCATGGAGTTTTACGAAAAGATGGGGAAAAAGGCAGTGCACGTTAAAAAGGAAGTTGTCGGTCACGTCGCCAACCGTCTCCAGGCAGCCTTGATGAGAGAGGTCATGTACCTACTACAGGAGGACGTTGCCGGGGTTGAGGACATTGACAAAGCAATGAGTTATGGGCCCGGTCTTCGATGGGGCGTAATGGGTCCGAACATGTTAATGCACTTGGGAGGCGGTGAAGGCGGAATCGAGTACATGGCGGATCATTTGCTGGGTCCCTTGATGTCTTGGTACGCACCTGAAGATCCTCAAGTCACGGCAGAATTGAGGCAGAAATGGGTCTCAGGAACGAGGCAGGCCGTGGATGACAGGGCTTACAGACAACTCGCGAAGCAGCGAGATGAGGAGTTGGTACGACTCCTGAACGTGAGGAAAGAGTGGGATAGCTATGCAGAAACAAGCAAGAACCCGGTCGCGGAGTAGCATGGAGGGTTGACTCACTGCATGCGAGCTTTTCGTAACTCTCCATCTAGATCTTATCCTTTGATATCCTCAGCATAGACTTGATAGTACAAATGATCCGTCATTTCGGCTTTACTGAACCAGAGCATGCAGCTTGAGTAAATGCTCAAATGGGTGAATGAACAATAGTACAGTCGCCGAGTGCCAAAAGCCCAGGCTACTAGCGCAAGTGTTCAGGCGCAGTGGAATCCGAGTTTTTGGTATGCCACGTTCTTTGCTCATCGATCCATCCTTCGTTCGTAGCAGTGATCTGCCGATTCTACCAAACGCTAATGGCCTCTCTACCGGGGTGCCATGTGGGCGGAACAGGGGGTGGATACCAGATTAGCGGAAAGGGAGGCTCCCTGATCAGTGCGGAATCAATCCCGTTCAGAAGAGGTTGGGTCCGTGTTGCATGACAACAATGTGGACACAATAACGTTGTGCGCGTGTCACGAAGACCGAAGTGCGAATACCGACTTCCATTTATCGGGAATACAGGAGTGGCCGAGAGCGAATCGACACGCAAAGCAGGGCAATGACGATACTACGAAAACGAAAACTTTTCCACTTCGTTTAATGATTCGAAGGCTTTCATGAAAACAAATACGTCCCCATGCAGGAAGTGCCAGGTCATAAAACAAGTCCTTGGTCATATATCTGATTCTAAAAAAATGATCGACCGAAGTTTTTTGATCAACTGACTATCTTAACTTATTGCATTGCCATTCGACACCTTAATTGTAACCCTTGTTGGGCAGGCGACATGGGCTCTCAAATCCAACAACGCCTGTACATCCTGGACACCGACCTATCTCACCCTCCCCAAAGTCGCCGTGGGCGCATCTTATCATGTCTAACAGACGGAAGCGACCTTCGAACAGTAGTCGACAACATGGTAAATCTGCCCGACGGGATTGTGATTGATCATGCCAAAGGTCATATGTACTGGACCAATATGGGATCTAGCTTGAAGTCCAACGACGGCTCAATCGAGCGCGCCAACTTGGATGGTTCAAATCGACAGATCATTGTGCCAGCAGGTGCCATTGGTGTTTTCACACCGAAGCAAATCACCATCGCCAAGCAGAGTATGAAGCTGTACTGGTGCGACCGGGAGGGTATGAAGGTCATGCGGTCCAACTTCGATGGGTCTGATGTCGAGGTCCTCGTCTCAACCGGCGACACCAATGAAAAGAGGGTGGATCAAAGAAGGTGGTGCGTTGGAATTGCTGTAGACGAACAGCAAAACGTGTTCTACTGGACACAGAAAGGACCATCCAAGGGCAACCAAGGGCGGATTTTCCGCGCACCTATACATGCCTCATTCGAAGACCGACTCCATCAAATCGAGATGGTGATCGGCGAGCTTCCCGAACCAATTGACCTCGACATTGACGAGGAAAGTGGCGCTCTATATTGGACAGATCGAGGAGATCCTCCTGCTGGAAATTCACTTAATCGAGCCATGATGCCTGATGGCGAGAAACACGAAACTCTGGCAATACGATTACACGAAACCATTGGTCTATCGTTGGACCAGCGGGAGGGTCTAGTCTACGTGACAGACCTTGCCGGTGGAGTCTACTCTGTTGATACGAAAACGTACAAGAAGACGGTATTATTTTCCGAACTGGGTGACATTACGGGGATCGCAGTTGTATAGTCCCATCAGGATAGCGAGTTTGAAGAAATCAAAATGGAACAACAAGGACAGAGAATCTAACATATGTTCAAATCTCCATCAATATTATGACTTTCGGAAGGCATTGGTGACCCAAAATGAACTGTGCCATTGTGATGAGACGTATCACTAACACGAGATGATTCATAGTTCAATCCTCTGATCAAGCACGACCAGAAGTGGACGACCTCACGCGCCTGGACGCTAAACCATCAAAGCCCAATCAGTGGTCGAGCAACCGCTAGAAACTCTTCAATGTTCTGCAGGAAGATGCTAGGTTGCTCTAATGCCGCAAAATGTCCTCCCTGTATAAGTTTAAAAGTTAGATGTACAACATGAACACAAGAGGTATTGATGGAACCAGGCATACCTTGTCATTGCGCTTGTAAAACACGAGATTTGGATAGACCTTCTCAGCCCACGCTTTCGGCAAGAGAATATTCTCTGCTGGAAAAACCGAATAGCCAAATGGCTTTTCTTTGGATGTTGAAACAGAAAAGAGGACATTTGCTGCTGCTGCGCTCGCGAGAGCACGATAGGGATACATGCTCCTTGGGAAAGTGTCTGTGTACCAGTAAAAGCTCACCATAGTGAGAATTGTGTCAACAGAAAGTGGATAACGGGAATCAGGCCACTCGAGGAACTTCTCGCCAATCCTAGATAGTGTTAGGCAACGACAGTATCTTGCAAGTCAAGCCGTCACATGGAGCTTACCAGGCCAACATGGCAAGTGGGCTTGATGATAGGACGAGGCCAATTGTCGAGGGTCTTAGACCATGTTCCAGAAGATACGACGACCCGGTAGCGCTAAAGTTCAGCATTCGCTGTACGTGCTGTGCCTCATCTTCGGAGATGTTGGCCGTAGTAAGAAGCTCGTCTTGGGATGATGGAGCAAGCATATTGACTGTCTGAGTATTAGTCCAAATCTGAACACCCACTGAAAGTATGGAGCAAATATTGCTTACTGTGGAAGGCTTTGCATTGTGGGTGATTCGCTGACAGAATTCTGGCGAGGAAGCTGCCGATATCGCCGCCCTGGGCAACATAGCCTGAGTTGAAGCCAAGAGTGATCATAAGCTCGTTCATCAGCCTCGCCGCTGTTTCAAGCGTGAGTTCAATATCGACTGGCCCACCCGAAAGTCCATAGTTAGGCAGAGAGGGAACAATGACATGGTAAGGAAGTGTCTCTGGAGTATATTTGCTTTTCAGAATGTCGAGCAACGGAAGAAACTCGAGAAAAGATCCGGGCCACCCATGCAGAAAAAGTAGCGGTAAGGCATCGCTTCTCTTGGAGTAGAGACCAACGAAATGGATGTTTGTCGGTCCAGCATCGACGTCATTAATGGTGATGTTGAAGTTGGGGAAGCTATTAATGCGGTCTTCTTGCTTTCGCCAGTCAAGCTCAAGCCACGCATCTTTTGCTTCAGCGAGCCAATTCCTGGTAGTTCCAAAGTCCTTATTGTCGTGTTTGTTGTACCAGGTTTCGGAACCGATCTTTGAAGCAGAGAGGAGAGATGCGAAATCTTCGATCCTGGAATCAGGAACGTGAAGGTTGAACTCCTCTTGGGGAGCCATTGTGACTCCCGGTGTCGTCTCGAGAGCCACGGTATACTGAAATAGGGTCAAGAAGGTGGGCAGTAGTGGCCACATGTCCTGCGGTTGTAATTGATATTAAGTTGACAGAAAGACTACGAGTGCAGGAAAAGAAAATCAAAGTTCATTCATCTGTTTAACGCACAACCTTATATCGTCAGAAAAACCACACAATGGGAACTAATCACTATCCGTGCTGATCTTTCAAAAACTGTTATCAAATGGCGAATAACAACAAGTTGGCCACCGAGGAAAGAATACTTTGGTACTAAGAACCCCCAATCAGGCCCATAGCAATGAGACTCGGAGCAATGTTAATGCCGCGTTCGACTCGGGCGCTATGGTATGGGGATAATGATCCTTGGACTGGAAGACTTTGGCGAAGGCGAGAGTGGGTATGATCATTAGTCACGCCTGGTCACGTTCGACCGTCGGACGCGGAGCCCGAAGCGGAGGACTGTCAGGATGAAAGAAATATGTTAGTCGTGTGCATATCTCACCCAGGGGGAAATTCAAGCCAGTCAGCTCTAACTTTACGCCCCCGCAAATGAACCCCAAGTCAGGGAACTAATGCTGCGACCTATGGGATTGTGCCAACTATAACAATTTGCCCATGCTCCTCATTGTCAATGGCGTTTCCTAGAATACCAGATTCCCATTGTATCAGCCATACAATATCAACCTGACCAGTTTTAGTCCCGGACCTATTAGGTCCCTAATTACTACGGTAATGCAAATGGTCCCAGCCCCCCTCGCGATAAAAGAGCAAACAAAGATGAAGGACCACACATGAGCAACATGTCCTTGTCTGAAACCGTGGGTTCTGCGATGACGACCTGGGACAATGTCTCCGGCACCCTAACTTGCTACCTTGATAATTACATGTACTTGAGAGAAATTGATCGAGTAGACGAGCCTTTTAGCTAGTCACACGGTTTCCGTGAACCAACAGCTCATACTCGACTCAGTTATCTACAATATTTCGATGAAACGTTCACTTCATTCGAGAGGTGCATGCGTCGATCCTAGGAACTCCAGTTGAGATTGAGCCATTCGCAGTGATGAGTGTGAAGCACTGATAAATTTTGAGCTACGTTGAGGGGAAAGACAGTTAGAGATGCGCTCGGTAACATTGCGCCGCCATTTCCGAGACACTATCGACCTTCCCATGACTTTTGAAGCATTTCCCTCACCCCAGTAACCTTTAGGTGTGGAAATACCTGATTCAGGACCCTATCCTTTGGGAAATCGAAGAGACCTTCAGTGACCCAGAAACCAAAGGTGGAGAATAGCTGTTGAGTCCACTGTTTCGGGAAATACGAGTATGCAGCAACCTGGCCTGGCAGCTCCGTGATCTCGCCAGATTGGAGCTTCTGAACGCTATCGTATGTCACATGAAATTTCTTCCCTATCAACAATCAAAGTCTTAGTAAGTCGATCATCATGTACTTTAGGGAACTAGATATCACCTCCACGAGCCTCTTCGGCAATTCCAATGAATTCTTCCCAGGTCATTTCGTCGCCAATGAGATATGTGTCGTGCTCCCAAGTGGCTAGGTCGAGAGCTTCCACGACGAATCTGGCGACGTCTTTGGTATAGGTGAATGTCATTTTTTGTTTTCCATCTCCAGGTATGGATGCTCGCCTGTTGGCCATGTCAACAACAAAGGTTGTTTGCGGAATATAGGTCTCGATATGGGGCATTGCGTAATAGTCGAGGAACCACCCGCAATTGAATGCTGTCCATTCAAGTCGCGATTTTTCCAGCTCTCTGTAAGAAGCAATGTGCTGGAACCCGTGTGGCAAAAGACTCAAATAGCTAGAAAGACTCTGGTTAAGTAGGTGCATACTTTTCAGACAAGCACGCAGCGACTAGAGTTCACTCACTGAGTAGACGGTCTCACTGCCCAGCTACTACTAATGAAACGCTGCGTAGAACTGCTCTTATCGGCTGCTTGAATGAGGTTGACTTGAGCCTGGCCAACTCCAATGATGTGGAGGGCTAGAGCTGATATCACCGTGTGGATCTCGTGGGTTTCCAAGGTCGTCTGCAGGGACGTTCTGTCGTCGTAATCAACTGCCACAACAGGAACTCCAGCTTCATCTTCTGCCGCTTCCTGTTTACGAATGACTATTGTAAGCACAAACGAATTTATAAAAGGGAAAAGGCTTCTTGGAAACACGATCATGGCGTACCGTACGAGAGAGGATGATGGTGGAGTGTCTCGGATCGTTTTTGAGTGCATCCACAATGCTACGCCCAACGCCGCCAGTTCCTCCGGCAATGGCAATGTTCACCATGTTGAGATTCGCCGTATCAGATGACGTGTGACGTAGAGAAAGAAATGAACTCCAGTCGTGGAAACCCAAAAGAAAACTTGAATTTGGCGGGTTGGTTTGCCGTCAAGCTGGACTTTTGACCAAGTATTTTGGGACGCTTAGAATTCAATTTAATAGGCGTAGTCTTCGGTCGAACTTCGTCCGTATAATTCCCCCACAAGAGCGTAGATGGAGCTGAAACTTGACACCCCCCGCCCGCACACCTCAGCCGCATGACGGTCAACAAAGCAGGTGGCAGAATTGGGCGTTGCAGGACGGATTGATAATTAGACCGTCGGTAAGATTGAAATCAGCTACCCATGTGATCGTCCTAACTGACTGGCCACTTTCACGACGCAACACCTCCTGGGAAAGATTTTGCAAGGGCTGTTGTATGAAATAATAGGCCAAGACAGTCTACGGACAATATTTAACCATATCCGTAACTATTTTAGAATGAATCGAAGTTCAGACCGTCGTATGATGACTCAACCGAGGCTATGAGCGTAATCACCAACGGTCGCACTTGTTGCATCAAGGTCACCGCAATGATCCTTTTAAGTGGTTTACGTTGACGTAAATCTACCTCAGGCTGCGAGAACACCAACGCCGAACTGCCCTAGTTCGATGGTAAAAACACCATCAGGGTCTCCAGAAACTTCCAGCACAGCGGGCGCGGAAACGAGCGTGGGATTTTCGACCGAGTTAGCATCATCAGGGCTGGCAGTGATTGAGGTAAACGATCCCTTAACGTCAGCCTTGCCAGGGATTTGTATGCGAATCTCGGTCGAGTTGGAAGCATAGTTGGCGAGTTTTACGATCACTTGGCCCTCTCCTTTAATGCTTGCTGCCCACCAGACTAGGTAGACAAGAATTTCGTGGTCAGTTGCTGTCAAAGGCTTGAGAGTAGTGAGCGAACTGAACTCACCAGGGTTGAGCTCTGCATCAGCTGTAACGGGGACAACAACATCGCCATGGTTATTGGCAAACATCCTTTTGACGTGATAAGATGGAGTATAAACGATGCCATCGGGTTTGTTAGTAAAGGGAATGAGGTTGGGCTAGCCAAGACAAGTCAGCTTAACATGTATATACAGTGAGAGAATCAGTATCTTACCGTCCATTGGCCGTTGACAGGGTCGTAATTCTGTAGTGTAGGTGCGTAGGCAGCTAGTTTGATCACATCCGCGTTACGCTCCCAACCCATCATATAGACTGCCTCGGAGCAGGCGCCTCGCATGTCGGACCATTTGACGCCCCACCTGGCGTATTCACCGATGAACACGGGATGAGCGCGATCCCAGTCGTCATAAAAGTCATATGCGTTGATGTAATTGTCCGGCACATTGTAGTCGTGGAAGTCAAGCCATGCGCCTTCGGGGATTGGGTCCGGCAGACAGGCTCGGTCAGACGTAGAGGTAAGGACAGTTATTTGCGGATATGCTTCCTTGATAGCATCGAAAAATTGCACAAAGCGCTGCTTATAAGACTCACAGCCGCCGGCGAGGTTGTCCTCGTTCCCAACCTCGACGAAGTTGAGCTGGTACGGCTCTGGGTGTCCCAGAGACGCGCGAAGTGCCCCACCTGACGTTTTGATGTCACCAATGACGAACTAAGGCGTTCTTTAGCAAGTACCTGATGCGTAGTAACGTAGGTAGACAACATACCTCAATCTCACGGATTGCGTCTTCAACATACGGCTCAAGCTCATCTCCTACTAATGGTGGGAGTCCCGCAAGTCCGAGACCGGCCCATACGTCCAGGATAGGCTCCAAGGACATGTCCTCACACCACTGCAAGTATTCCATGAGGCCAAGGCCGTCAGTGTTGGCATATCCCCAAGTCCCTATATAAGTGCCAAGAACATCAGTCGGTTGCCTCACATTGCAGTAACATCAAGGTGCAGCGAGGCCCTACCCCAACGTCCTGGTCGAGATTCAAGAGAACCTATTGTTTCATTCCATTTCCAGCGGTCATGCGGGCCGCCTCCCTCACTGTATAATAGGTAGTTAGTGATTGGATCTTGGACTTGCAGTTGATAAGGATACCGAGGCAACTCACAGATTGTTACCCCCAGGGAATCTCAGAAACTGGGGTTTGAGATCTACAAGGGCTTCGGATAGATCGACTGTCAAGCCGTTCTCTCTACCTTTGAAAGTAGGAGGAAACAAGGTCGGGTAACCAAGATTGATACTTCCGCTAGTCAGAGTCTCGGCCAAGATCTCGAAAACCCAGAGATTGTTCCCATCGGCGGCGGCTGTCGTCCAGAATCCGGCTTCATATCGCGTCCATGAATCGGCCTTGGAGTCGACGGGAATGATAGCCCAGCCATGTTCGACATCAGTCTCATTGCTTAGAAGACGGATCTTGACATTGCCCTGAAAATCACCACGAAGCCAGAAAGTGGTGTTGTAGTATCCGCCGTTCACGATGATGCCTCTGTAGCCAGGGTTCGCAACGCCAGTGAATCCACCAGCGCCGGTGGGGATTGTGATTTTGAGGGATGAAGTAATGGCGTCAGTCAGTGGTGTTTGGGCATCATGGGAGATTTCCGCCGCGCCATAATGAACTGTCCAGGGGTCGAGGGTAGTCACACCGCCTTGAAATGCGTTATTTCGTAGTTGCTGTGAATAGAGACCTATCACCGGTTTTAGCTAATTGTTATGTTTGACGGGCCAGGGGTCAACTGTACCTCCGTCACCACTGTTGCTGATATCCTCAAACATAAGACCGTGGAGCAAAGGGCTTAACTCATGGCCAGGACTTCCAGTATCAACCTGAAGCAGGAGTGCCCCTGCCACAGTAGCTGTAGCTACGATGCTAAAGAATTGAGAACAGTGCATGGCTTAGCTTGAAGTCAAAGTCTTGAGAGATGAAGGTTGCTACCAGGATTAACTCAGTCACAAAGCAGCCAGTATTCTTACTATATATCACCGATCAATATTGCCAACCATGACTCAAGATACTTTCATGTATTGGATACGCTCCAATGGCGCTTAGACGTCTGGCATATCATCTGGCAACTGACAACTTACGAGTTCCAATTACTGGGAAGAAGAAGGCAACAGGGTCGAAAGAGGAATGAAAGGCATCACTGTTGCCCATCGCCATCGTGATTGGTGGCGAAAAAGAACAGTTCGGCTCGAGATCTCTCCGTAGATGTTTCTATGTTCCTAGAAAAGTCGCGGAAGTCTGAATGCAAGACGAATTAGTGGGATTGCCAAGATCGAGGAGCTCGTTCAGGTGGAGGCACATATGACAAGCGACCACCCAGGTGGCCATCATGCCAAGGAGGCATTGTGAAGGAAGGTCAAGTTAGCGGAAAGTCGTGCTCGCTTCTAGCCGCAAGCGCTGATATACGCTCCTCTCCGAAGATTGCGGGTAGCTTTAACGGCAAATTGTGGAGTAACCACGAGCATCCCCTAAGTAGCATGTGGAGAGGTGCTTACTTTGGATGGCGCATACAGGGTGTTCGGCATCAAATATAGAGAAGTTACAACACAACCGAAAACAAAAGTTTACTTTAACATTCACATATGAAGAATTAGTTTACGTAGAAGTATTAGATTCTTCCTGGTCCTCATTTCTCCGCGTCTTATTCCTTGGGCTCGCGTGTCTCCTGACTTGGCTGGGGGCCTCATCCCGTGGGAGCCGACAGAGCCGCTCCAATAATGACCTTGCGTTTGACTTCGCAATGTGTTTACTCCCCGATGAACAATAATTGTCAACTTTATTCGGGAAAAACGGCCGTCTATCCTCGGAGGCCTGAATGATAACACGCCAACTCACATAAATGACTACTATAGATGTGTCGAGGTTGCTGGAAGCCATGCGGATCCTAGCAGTTGCTCGTGTACATGTCAATGGCCCAGGGTAGTGACAAGAACCGTTATTCTCAACAATTCCCACTAATCACAGCTTTATAAATATATCTAGATACTCTCTTCGACATCAGCCTCCTTCAAAAGAAAACTTGAGCTTTATGGCTAAGTAGGTATTAAGCGTTTGTGGTCTCCGTGGATATCTCTTCGTGTTCGCAAAGACATTGGTTGCGCGGACGTTCGAGAAATGCAGCTGATCGCTCGTGCAAAGAGAAGCTACTAGAATAAAAGTCCATGGGGATTAAATGTTTAGACGCAAAGTTAGAGAGCCCGTCAAGTTTGTTAGAAGCAGAGAGGGTGCAGAGGCCGAATCACTGAGGGATGTTGGTGTTTACACTATCAGGAAGTAGCATTCCTCTAAAGTAGAGCCTAACCTCTCTCAGTAGATTATCATGCCGATCAAATGCTAGAAGAGACTTTCTTCCTGTATAATAGATGCTAAGTCTCCCCTTACCGATATCCTCTTAGTGTTTTTGACCGAGATTTACGTCCATATCTACTCAATCAGTAGCAACACCTGCCTTAATCCGCACAAGTGCGCTCTCACTCTCGATGGTACGTCTAAGAGCGGCGTAGACCCGCTCGTCGCGCGCCATGTTATACTAGTGAAAGGGCCTTCTGAACTGGTCAGGCTGTGATCTTAAGATTGGCCTATTTTAAACCAGTCACGTAGAGATTCAGCAAGTCCTTAGTCAATCGACATAATATGTTTGAAGGAACGACTAAAAAACGTCAGGTATCACTGGGACAACATCGTAGACTTCTCGATTGACCCGAGCAGTAGCTTGTACCCCTCGCAACTTCATCTTGACGAGCTATAAGAAGAATACCATGGCAATGATCACGGATGGGTCCGCCTAAATTTGGAAAGCTAAGGTGGCTGAGCGTACTTCCAATCTTTTATCGCTTGATACTTATTATTTGCTCTAGGCTGAAAACACTTACGTGTCGCGACCAAATCCTCATCTTGAATTATTCTGATAGCTTTTTCGTGGAAGCTCAACCTAAAGCCCAATATCTGTCTGCCTATCCGCCGTAGCTTTTCATTGGCAACTGCACGGGGTTAAGTCTTGATGGTCCGACACGTTGAAATTATATAGGTATCGCACAGATGGCTAGAGGTACTCGCAAGGCCTTATTGGGATACATGTAGTAACTGTCCACCTGGAGGTGGTGATATGTTCTCACCTCCTTGTGCGCTGGACAGCGGAATCGTCATGAAATACCTACCTTATGCTAAGAATGGCCAGGCGACCAATTTTCCAGCCGCCATATTGAACGAGGAGAAAGAAGAGACTATGAGTACGTTGATGAAGGCAAATGGACTAGACGGAGCATAGGACCCCCAAAAGAGGTTAGACATCGTTAAGCAGCCTGGCATTGGCTTGAGAGACGTGAGATGCACGGCACCCAGCTAGATGATCGAGGTTTTTACGGCTGCGGCCCAATGTAAGGATCAATGCCGACTGTGTTGGTGAGATGACTCGAATCGGAATAGGGTCGACATGGAATGAATGGGGCGACTCAGCAAGGTCAGCCGCTGATGTCTGGAAGCCATAGCCATCCGGGCTCTATTTGCAGCGAGAGCAGGAGATCAGCTCGGCAGGATAGATGAGCCCACATCGTCGTGAGGAGTCTCGAGACTGGAGAGGTGATAGCAAAGACTGGGTTCGAGAGCATGCCAGGGTTTGAAGATCGTCTTGTATGGATATTCAGGCATTAGATACTATCTTACACAAGTACCTCAGATATTGTCTTGAGGTAGCATCATCAAGTGTGTCTGCCTACCTATCTCTCAAGACCCGAAGGATCTACATGTTTCTTATTTTAGGCAGCCAAGTTAACAGTGGAAACGCATCCACTCACATTTGGGTCTTTGGTAGACCACGCCCACCGAATTGGACCTTTGGTTAACGCTTAAGAATGCTGCGTCGTCACTCAGGGCATGTCGAGCTAAATCCGATAGAATCGCCCAATAAGGGATGAGATCTCCCTGCACCGCCAGCAGCAGCCTGTGAGTGAGACGGACCGGATCTTATCATAAGCTCCGTAAACCCTACCAAGGCCCACCCGAGACCGACAGAAGTGGCTGAGGCGGCGGCCGACCCCGGCCCATACGCCTGGAGATAATTAGCCGGACTTAATTTCTGGGGACACTGTACTCCGTACCTGAGCACTACCTATGGTGGTAGGCATTCCTGCAATGACTGGCGATGGCGACGGTTTGGATCGAAATCAAGTGTATATATACGCAGTTAAGATACCTCTCAACGATTTTGAACTTGGAGCATTATCAATCCAGCATTTTTTACAAGACATCTACTTTGTACACTACACCTTAAGCACCATACCCTGTCGAAGTTTGGTACCTCAATCTTGGTCATCGTCAACATGAGCTCCACTACAGCCACCAAGACCATTGTCGGAAAGTCCATTGGGCCAACCGGCTACGGACTGATGGGTGAGTTCGTTGAATTTAAAAACAGGCATCACAAGATTCTGTTCTTTTGCTGACAATGATGCACAGCATTGACCCGTCCTTGGGACCAGATTGACTTCTCTGTTTCAACCAAGTTGATGAAGACTGCGCTCGAACAGGGTGCCACCGTTTGGAACGGGGTATGATTACCATCAACGAAGGCCATTCTTGATAGAAGATGAACTAATACGGAAGCAGGGAATCCACTACGGAACTCCTGACAGAAATTCCTTGCACCTACTCAAACACTACTTTGAGCAAAACCCACAGGATGCCGACAAGGTCGTCCTCAGCATCAAGGGCGCCTATGACGGCAAGACCCACATCCCGGACTGCAGCCCGGAGGGCATCCGGGCCTCCGTCGAAGAAGCCGTACGAGTCCTTGGTGGCTGCAAAAAGATTGACGTCTTCGAGTGCGCTCGAGTCGACCCCAATGTCCCCATCGAAACCTCCGTCCAGGCCCTCGCGGAACTCATCAAGGAAGGCAAGATCGGCGGCATCGGCCTTAGCGAGGTCAGCGCCGCGACCATCCGCCGCGCGCACGCCGTGCACCCCATCGCGGCAGTCGAGATCGAGCTCAGCATTTTCACGCCCGATGCCGTAACCAACGGTGTCGCCGAGGCATGCCACGAGCGTAAGTCTTTTGCCATCCCGGGTCGCATTCTCACAATATAGCAATGATTAACTCGAACAACTATTATAGTCGGCATCGCTCTCGTCGCCTATAGCCCCGTCAGCCGCGGCCTCCTCACCGGCGAGTTCCGCAAGCCTGAAGATCTCCCCGCCAACGACATGCGCCGTATGTTGCCGCGCTTCAAATCGGACGCGTTCGTCCAGAACTTCAAACTTGTCGAGGCGGTCGAAAAGATTGCCGAGCGCAAGGGTGTGACGGTAGCGCAGGTGGCCATCGCTTGGGTGCGGCGGCAGGGAGCCATCCCGATTCCTGGGTCGACAAAAGCGGACCGAGTGGTGCAGAACTGCGTAGACGTGGAGCTGAGCGACGACGATTTGAAAGAGGTTTGGGCGCTGATTGAGAGCTTGCCCATCGCAGGACAGCGCTATGGTGGCAAGTTTGAGCAGTATCTTAACCAGTGAGGATTGGCCGTTTTTCCATGCTTTCTGCTTGATTTGTAATATATCTCAAAGTCTTCAGAGTAGCGGAAATGCTACTATAATATACAAATGTTGCCTTAGACGATGGTAATCGCTTGCTGTATTGCACACCTAGGCAAATGCCTGGAGTAACTACTTCTCACACATTGATTTAGCGTCCACAACAGTGTCAAAGCGCTGGTGGTTTACCAGCACGGCTGTCCTTTCGCCAGTCGCCAAGACGGCGAAGATGATGTTGGGAGAAATGTGCAAGGGCCAAGTGTCTATTTATAAGGCACGTTCATCCATTACCTGCCTTATTGCGTTCTGACTCAGGGATGGTGCGGCGCATGTTGCCTGCGGTTCATCCTCGACTTCGATTCCTCTTAGCAGGTTGAAACAATGTGCAAGACCTGATTTTTTGCTCTCCACGCCCAACAGGATCATGAACATTACTTAGTAGATATGCTGGATTACCTAAGTACCTTACCTTTTGTAACGGCCCACTGGCCATAGCCACGTGACTGCTCTTCAACCGGCCCTACTCTCTCGCTCGCAGGTGGTGAAAGCTTCAATGCCCATCTATTCACGAGCCTCCGAACTTCGGAAGATCCCGTCCGTCTCACCACTAATTGTTTACATGCTTGTGCCAAGTGTTCGAGTCGATCATTGAGGTTTCACTCCGATATTCTCTCTTTCTCTCTCTACCCTTGCTCCAAAATTGCGGTACCACTCTGATACCCCTCTCGGTGTCTTTCGCTCATCTACATCGGCATATAACCGCCATCATGCTTTCTTCAGGCTTACTTTCAACCTATAAACAATACAAGCGCGACACTGATGCCGTTGCCTCGTGGCTGGCTGCCACCGCGATAAGCTCCGGCTACTCCAAGCCCCTGAGTGAGCCACCCGCCAAGGCTACGTCTTCAGTGCCCACGTCTGAGAGGTTGAAGGGCAAGGCGCGGAAGGAGGCTAAGAAACAGGCTATCATCAACCCATTACAGGCACCCGAGGAGAAAGCGCATGAGGACACGACGCCGAAACACATCATCGCTATCAAGGATTTCCTGCCACTGGCCCAATTCGTCGCGGGAAAGTTGTCCGACTCCCTCAAGGTCCCAGAATCGTTCATGTCATCCCTCAACCGTGTCATTGAAACTCGCAAGCGGTTCTCAACCATGCTGGGAGGTATTCGAAGATTCAAGGACTACCGTGGGGACAATAAACATGCTTTCTTTGTCACCGTCCTTGAGCGCGTTCGCGATGCCTTTAAATCCCATGTGGGCGCGTTCGACGTATCTGCTCTACAAGACGCGACCCGTGGCATCGAAAAGACTCTCAAGAACGGTTCAAAACATGCTGACGGACCCAAAAATATGTTCGCTATCCTAGACGTGTACGAGCCATCTGAGGACTTCCTGGCGGCCCCGAACATCGAGCGTCAGGCTAAGGTTCCTGAAGTCTTCATGGCTGAGGAAGACGACTCCGATACAGCAGCCCTCTTCATTTATACTGCGTACCTCAAGGATCTCGGCCAACTTCGCGAAGAGATCCTCCAGCTCTGGACCGAGTATAGATCAGGAGATAGAGACCTCGCCGCCGTTTCAATTGCCACCAATACCGCTCTGCAGCTTGCACGCAATATGGAGCAAGAAATTGCCTCATCGATGGAGAAGCTTGGAGGTGCCATGGAAGCCATCCAAATGTTCTATGAGGCTGCTTGCGCAGCTCAAGGCCAGGACCCTCTTGATAAGCAGTGGGGTGATGATTTGAACTTCAACTGCTACCAGGACGCCTCCGACCTCTACTTCACTACTCTCAGTCTTCTTCACGCCTTCAGCAGCAGCGAATCGCCCTCAAACATTCCGAATTATAACGGGAAGTTCGGTTGGTACAATGATAAGAAAAGAGGAACCACCGCCCGCGAGCGATGGGCAGAGGATAAGGCAGCACTCCTTGAAGTCTTCGCGGATCAAACCATGCTCGTTCAGCTGTTTCGAGGATCCCCGGTTCAGGATGAATTCACCAAAGGATTGAAATACGTGATGGACACGGGTAAATTGGAAGTATGGCTATGCTTCTCCGCCCAAGTGTACCTCGACATTCTCAAGTCCCTCGGACCCTCAGTTCGAAACGGGGAGAGGGATTTCCAGCGGTCCCTGAAGCCGATTGCAGACAGTGTCGAAGAGGCTCTGCGTATTCGCAGCAACCGAGAGGGTGCGGTCAGGGAGAACATGCAGGATCTTCGCAAGCTGGCAATCTTATGGGGGCCCGGAAAAGACCCATTCAACGCCATTCGTATTGCATCGAGGCTTCAGACAAGGACTTCTAACTTCTTGGAACATCACCCGATGTACTGCGGTCTCTTCTTGCATTACGTCCGAACTCTCTTCCACCGCGTGGGGGCCGAGTATGCTGCGAAGCCGGGTAACGTGATGCACGGCATCCAGCTCTATCAAGCTCTCCAACAGGAAGGCTTCTTGCAAGACGGAGACAAGTGGGACGCTCTGGATTCAATGATGGAGCAACAGGGCCGGACCGCCTTCTTTGTCGGCGATCCCCCAGTGAACCCAGAAGCGTATTTCAAGAACTTTGGACTCTCAAAAGGAGTTTCGGCTGCGCAATGGATTCAGAAGCGCAACAAACCCAACAACAATCGCGTCATGACCTCAAAAGCTGGCATTCGGATCATGAAGTTCAAGGGAGTCTGTTCTTGTTTGTTTGCCCCTAGGGTCTTGGACAACTCGGATCCCAGAGGCCTTAACGCGGACGTTATTGATCAAATCCTTGAGCGAAGTGGCTGGCTTAACAAAGCAGGCAACGACGGCACCCCCTCCGACCCCGAAAAGCCCAAGGTAAGATACTATGAAGCTCTCTACCATTACCATCAAGTGTTTTTTATAGTCTATATGTCTGACAATCTCCAATAGAAGCACCGTGCCCTCCTCCTATCTGAGCTAGTTCGTCAAGTCGCCCTTGCAGTTCATGACGAGGTTCCTGAGCTCACTCTCGACTACTTTCACACCGACCACCTTTGCAAGGCTGTTTTGAAACGCGTGCGAGAAAACGTAGATGTCAAGAATGGCGGCTCGATCGAGTCCAGTCAGCTCCGTGCGCTTCAAGCAGACAACCCAGGAGATACTGTAGGCATCGTTTTCGCTGCGGTTGTTGGCCACGTACCCGTTCTTTTTCCAGACCAGAAGGCGCCTCTCCGAGAGGCAGCTGAAGCTTTCAAGAGCAAGCATACCTTGGAAGATTAGTCGGCCTTATTATGTGTCGCCCACAAATGCTCTAGAGAACGAACCGTAGCCGTCAGGTTATTATATCCAATGTATTGATCAGCATTATTTTGAAGTATCCACCCATGCTTGTGCCTTGCCATTAGGAGCTACCTCATCTCCTGACATGGCGTCAAGCGGGTGACGGGATGCTCTTTCGATAGACTGCTGATCAGTGCATGCAGTAATGCCAGCTTGGGTTGGGTCACAGTGAACTGGACAAGGTGGGATCGCAGCAATGGCGGTGTCATCGAGCAGTAATTTGCAACATGTTCAATTGATTCGGTCGGTGCTTCATTTCCCAATTATCAGGCACTCTAGCATTATCCACATGAGGGGCGTCCCAGATAATTGAACATGGCACAACTAGTAAAGATAGACAGCTACGTCAATGGTCCTTTACGAGTGTCTACATCCGATACTTTATATAGTTACTTGGACCCCATTGGCACTTTACAGACGTGGTGCTTATGGGTTCTAATGGCATCCAGGAGCAGCCGAACTCTGATCATGGAGCATCGATTGGTTGTCACGTTGGTTGGATCTCGGAACGTCGTTGGAAGGGTTGAGGTCGAAGAAACTTGTTGGCTTCAAGGTACATGACAACTTTTCCGCGGGCATAACAGGGAAGTCTAAGAATTTCCAAGCACGGTAAGTATCTTCTTCGTCAGAAGCATAGGAAGAATCATCTCGTACCTTCGGGGCGTGTGACGTGTGTCAGACCAAACGAGTGCCACAGAACAACATCTTCAGCCTCAACATTTTCCGCTCGTGCGGCATACTCTGCGAGGCCAGTATCCTCTCGGCTTTGATTTGTGAACTCTCCAGCAGCCCAAAGTTCGTCATCGCGGTACCGAGTAACCCAAATTGGCTTGGACGCGAAAATTCCGCGTCGATGATTAAAAGTCCCGGACCCCATCATCAGCATCTGGGTAGGCGAAGCATGAAGCTTGTATCCAGCCAGCTTTCCCGATATCTTGTTCCTGCGAGCCGGATTGATAATTTTGTACGTGCGAGCTTTTGTTAAATCGAGATCGTAACCACCTGGTGAAACAATAGGTGTGGTATCAAGTCGGAACGCACATCCGTAGGGGTCGAGCTCTGGATCGTCTCGTACAGGGATACAGTCCTCGTAAACAATTGTGTTCTTTCGTGCCCCATCAAGGATGGGGTCTATTCGGACACAAAAAAGATGCTGATGGTTGACAGCCAAGACTCCGGGTGCCACAACTGTCCCCCAAGGCGACGTCTTGAGTTCGGGACGGATTGGCATAGTGGAGACAATTCCAGTTGCTCGCACCTCGATGTGAATATTCGCGGCTTGATCCAGAACATATGCCAAGATGTATTCGTAGTTGGCTACAGTGGAAGTGCACTGGACAACGAGCTTTCGGTCCCGGACTACAGAAGACTTCATGTTGCGAAAGTTCGTGTGTTTCCAGCCAATTCCATCATCGATCTCGTGCATGCAGACAACGTTCGGCATAACAACAGGTTCTCCTGTTGCTGAAACCCGAACGCCATGGAAGTAGGCAATGTGGCCTAAACAGTCACAGCCAAGAGACAAGCTATTGGAAGTGAGACCGAAGCCGGAGTCGCCGAGGTCGAACGCTTGCTTCCGGTGGTAAGGTGTTCGGGGATCGCCATAAGGTACCGTCATCTCACTCATCGATACCCGGTAAAACAGAGGCCGGTCTTCGTAACGTACGTCGTGCAGAACTGGGCCTTCACGTAGAGACCATCCCAGTTGGAATTGCCATTTCTGCCATGATACCGTACGATTGCTGATGTCAAATGAAGGCCCTTCTGGTTGGGCGACTTGTAATGGCTTCAGGTCTTTTCTAAATGCGTCGGGTCCGAGAATGTTTGCGCTGTACTCAACTGGATCGACAGGCATCCAGGGTTGTGTTTCATCGTCGATCCCATCATCGATCCCCAAAGGAAGCTTTTGCAGCTCAACTAGCTCAAGAGTTTGAGCGTCGAAGATAGGAGCAAGAGGGAGTGGAATGGAATAGTGGTTGGCCTCGTCGTCATCGTTGAGGGCAAGATACATGTAACATTGGAAGAGACGGCGTCTCTCTTCGGCATCGTCAGTTCCGTAAGCCCAAGGGTCATTGAGAACTCGTGCTCTATATCATATCATGTTAGTTAGCTATGGCATATGGAACTCAGGGAACTTAAAGCCTCACCCCTTGGGCACTTTTAGCTTAGCGACCTCGGCCAAGACATCTGGATGGTTGTTGCAAGCGGTGGTAACGAGGTCGTATTCGACCCAGTCCACTGGCCCCTGGGCGTCAGGAAGGTCGTCCGTCTTCTCGAGAATTCCGCTGGTTATGTTGATGATTCCTCTGCTCATAAATTCCTTTCGCTTCTGTTGATAGTAGATCCTAGCTCTGCGATCGGGCACAGGGCCGCGCTCCAGTAGGTGAACCAAGGTCTCATCTTTTGAAGGCTCGGCGAGATCGATTACTTTGAACCTGATTTGATCTCTCTGTAGGCTCAGTCCTCTCAACAGGACCCGGGACGCTTGTCGCACTTCGTTGACAGATAGGGGATCAAGGGGGTGTTTGACCATGATGACAAGTTAATAAGGCTGGTGACAGATGAGAAAGTGCAGTGCTTGAGGGTGAATATGCGGTTGCGTTCAATTGGTAGCATCAAGTTCAGATGTTACATGTTTCCATACAAATATCTACAGAACTTAGGCTTATGATACACTCCTCTTGAGCTTATGTGTTCCGAAAGATCCTTGACTACCTGAAGTCATTCGATTCGTGTTGCGGACTTACATGTTTCCCAAACGGGACATACTTCCAGCAGCGATTCTCCACGTCCCAGTATGGAAAGAGGGGCAACCTGTTTTCCTCACGCGGGGTGAGAATGATCCCATCCTAATTACCAAACAGAAATAACTGCACTCTCAGACCCGATTGCTTTGAAAACATGGCATTAGAATAGAACACGCGCATCACCTGGCAAACCAAGCGTATCTTCTGGCTTGAACAGGAAAGACACCCAGCTGGCCCCTTCAGAGTGGACCCTCCGTCAGCACTGCGAAGGAACACAGCGCAACGCGGGGTAGCCCAACATGGCCACCATAACCGATCTTACATCTTGCGGCAGCCGCGACTAACAGATCCTCATGAGATATATATGCTTCATGCTCCAGAATTTCGCTTCCCTAGATATGATCAGAAGCTTCGTGGCCAAGTACCAACCCACGGCAACTTCAACAACTTCATCCCACCATGTCTGACTTCAGGGGCGTCGATCTTACTGGTAAGACAGCCATTGTCACTGGCGCTTCACGGTGAGGAATCGGCCTCCTTTGCCAGTCTTTTGGCTCTTTTCTTTTATTAGACTACAGCTAATGTTCTTCATTTCACAGGGGAATAGGTGCCGCAATCGCGAAACAACTTGGGAGGCGAGGAGCGAATGTCGTCGTCAATTTCGTGACAGACAGCAGTCGCCAGCGAGCTGAAGACATCGTCAAAGACATCCAACAGCACGGATCGAATGCCATTGCGATTCAGGCAGATATTGGGAAACTATCTGGAATTTCTAAACTCGTTGATGCCACGCTAAGGTTTGGCGGAAATGGCAAGATCGAGATTTTGGTCCATAAGTCAGTGCCAGTTTTCGGTTTCTTTGGCTTGCTTCTGGCGATTATGTGTATGGTTCTAATACGTTTCCTCTGCTTCTCAGCGCGGCCTTGGGTGTTGACGCCAACCTCAATGAAGTCACCGAGGACTTGTATCTCACTCACTTTGACACCAATGTCAAGGGACCAATCTTTCTGACCAAAGCTGTCGTGCCGCACATTGCCCGAGGCGGTCGAATAGTTTTTGTTTCTTCTGCAGCTGCTCGTCTTGGAGTCGCTGGGCAAACCGTATACGCTGCTACAAAAGCGGCCAATGAGGCACTTGCACGTGTGTGGGCCAAAGAGCTCGGTCAAGAGCATGGCATTACTGTCAACTGCGTCAACCCTGGCCCGGTGGCTACTGGTAGGCATCTCACATCCAAGACGCCCTTCGCAGCAAGACTGACATGTCTTGCGACATAGATCAGTGGAACGAAAGCGATGACCAGTTTAGAAAAGACATGGAGCCCTTGATCGAGTCTACACCGGCTGCGGCGAGAATCGGAGAAGTTGATGATGTCGCACCTCTCGTGGCATTCCTTTGCAGCAGTGACGCTCGGTGGACTACTGGGTCAGTCCTCTGTGCAAATGGGGGCTTGTATAATTAAGTAGGTAGACGAGAAGTACGCCGTTGACATCAGATGCGCCGATCAACGATGAATTGAAAACATTGCAATTTTGAGAGACTTTTGATACTATTCAACGCATCATATCAAATACTGAATCACGGCTTGGTCTTTCCAGACACACCGATGTGTCTGTAAATCTATCCAGCTCCTGCGTCGCTTCCATCCGGCCCATGCCAAACAAGCTCTATGTGGGTATCATAACTCTCACGGTTGAGAGGGCTGAATTACAACGGTCTAATATCACTTTCTTCCATATTGAAAGCCTCTCTTTGGTATCTGTTCACTATGAAACTTGGTGGTTGTTGCCCAGATTTAGTCAGGTAGGTGTATTATGGCTCATTGGCAACTTCCTTCCGAATCCCGCGCTAGGCTATTTGAACAAGTTGTTTCAAGGTTCCCACGACATATCATGGGCAGACTTCAAGGTGCCGGGACTCGGGCATCTCCATTAACGATTCTATCCCTTCAGAGATGTTTCCAGGGTAAACATTCGAAGACTGCCGTTCGGTGGTTGGGAAATCTTTCCTTCATCGCATCTTCCGAGGGTCTCTCGTGGTATTGAGAGTTGGTGAGCCATTTTGGCATATCTCTGCATATTTGTTCAAAAGAAAAGATAAGCGTGTTGCTGCTGCATACTCTCAGAGCATGTCTGTATTCAAATGAGTATAAATGTTGAACCAAGGGGGAATCCAGGTCTTTACTCACAAATTCCATCCAGGGAACATTCGTCCAGCCCCGGGTTTTCAGCCTTCTTTCCTCCCAAACCCCTTCAAGGACTTCCATCATGGCTGCATGTTGAAATCCCGTGGAGCGTCGAATATTTTCAATACAAAGACTAGCGTAGTGTATCTGGTGTCTTTCAGATGTCTCGGTTGCCGCCAGAAATAGAGGGAACAACAGCCGCTTGAAGAATGGCGAATCCATTGAAACGTTTGCACGGCAATCCAGAATTGCTGATACCGATGGCCTGATCCTAGGGTCTTCGCAGGGAATGGCGAACGTATCAGGCCATCGTAAGATTCTCAGCAGACTAGCATGTCGAAAAGCCTCTGCGATCTGTCTCCACTCCGGATGTGGTGTGGGATATTCGATCGTGTCGAGATCGAGGTCGCGAAGAAAGCTCTCTGCCTCATTTAATCTGGTCTGAAAGTCGACGGTAGATAACAATCCCTGCATATTCTGCTTGGCTGCTGCTATTACGTCCCCGATTCTCAAGAATATTACAGCGGGACAGCCAACCAAAGTGTGCAGGGCTGCGTGTGGACTAGTGATGTTTGCAACACATTTTCGGACATTCTCGGAGTAGGTGAGCTTCTCGGCACCACTGAATCCTCTTAAGACATCCAACCTGATCAACATATTTGTTATTAGAAAGTTTCGAGATCGGTCACGAGGACTAGACTTACCATGATAATGCAGACAAAAAGAAGATGGTTGCTGCAGACCGCCCTGCCCTTCCTGAAGGGGATGCAATTCTTCCACAAAGGAAGGACACACCATTCAAATGAACAGCATGAGCAGAGATTCCCAGCTCGCATATCTAGACATCATGCATATGATTGCTTAGCCAACGAGACTCGTGCTGTGGAGCAACTTGAAATGGGTCATGGGCCTCACATCATGAAGTACCAAAAGGAAGATTATCGCTAGTGCAGCCTCTTCTTCAGCTTCTGTAAGTCCGTAGATTTCTTCCTTGATTAAAAGGGAGCTTAGACCGTTCAATGCAGCAACACGGTGTTGTAGGGCAGTGGCCATGTCAACTTGGTTAGCACCTGATGGTGATAGGTGCAGATGGCACGCGGTAAGCCCCAGGACTGCATGGAGAACACCTGTGTGATTGTAGGCCAGTGGGAGGACATGTACGCGGAACGGGTTGTCAACGCCTTCAACGACAATTGTCAGATGATGGCTCAGCTCTCTGTCGACTACGAACGGTTGTCAGAAACGATGATGTCACACTGGCTGAAAGAAAGATGGAAGGTTCCGGGCGGTCGAAGAGCAACTTACAGTAAACCAGCAACTTCTGGCTGTTACTTGTGAGTAGTAGATCGTCGACAGGGTGCCCGGTGATTGTTGCCGGTGACGGTGCGCCAAGGGATCGGTCTTGGGGCGAGGCTGGAGAAGCGCCTTGTGACAAAGTCTGGAGGAGGCGGCGACTTTGGCTTGGGTGATCTGAAGAAAGTGAATTTGGGGTCGATGTTGGTGAGCTCAGGTTTTGGGCTGGAGTAAGCTCGTTGGTGGGTAGGACATCAGGCTGAACGCGCTCTTGCTCCGCTTCTGGGTCCCGCTCCTCGCCAGCGGTCATCAAACTGGGCGTCTGTAATGATTCACAGAATTGGAATCGAGGAGGGTAGCCCTCACAGTGTAAGCCCTTTGACTTGCATCGATTGCAGACAGGGCGCGCGCGGTCACACTTGCGGCACTTCTTTCTACAGGTTCCGCATGCTGGATCTGTTGACGGTCAGCGACGAAATCTGAGCGGGAGCTGAGGCATAATCGGGTAGTAAATCGCACGCTCAGAAATCATGAGCGACAGAATGTCTCGCTGCTGAAACTTGTTCCCAATCTGGCTCAACAGGACCCGAGCAGGGACTGAGTGCCCGCTAGTGCAGTTTTTGGGTACAAGATTCAGAGCAAGAGAGGGGAGAACCGAGCTGACCTTTTCTGACGGCTTTCGAGCCCCTGGCCATTGCAATGTTGGCACGCATTTCGCATCCGAATCTCGTAGACCTTGTCGTGAGGTATGATCACCAAATTCGTACGCAACTATCCGACCAAATGTTGGGAGCAAGTGGAAGAAAGGCCGGCGGACCAGAGAGTCTCGCCCGATGTTGGGTTCATGTTGGATGTTCAGGATTGGACGCTTGGGCAATCCATGTATTCCGTACAGCCTAAAACCTACCTTGCCGTAGAGAAGAGCGGTACGTAGTGCAGGTGTGCAGCCTGCAGGTAAGCAGCATCCGCTAAGGTGGCAGTGGAGTCATGACAAAGGAATCTGAATTCCGCGCCGGGGACAGCCACCCTTGAGACAACGTGTTGTCCCCAGTCTGGCGCCTCATACTAGCACCCACATGATATGAAGCATTACAAGTTCGGTCGAACTATGATCATCGTTAGTGTCGTTTCATTTGCTCTTGTTTTCGGGTGACTTTGGGAAGACTCGCCAAAGGCTTTGCCACTCAATATGATTCCGAATGACATGGAGGTGCCGTGGTGACCGTTGCTAGTGAAGCATTAAGAATGATGGTCATGGCTGACACCGTTGAGGAAACAACTTTGAGGCCATTTTATACAGTATTTCAGTAG